ACAAATATGAATTGGTGTCTCTTGATGTTATTTCGCTATTTACAAATGTCCCTCTTGACATAGCGATCGACTGTATTAACGAGCAGTGGTGTTTTATTTCCGGGGCATGTTCACTACCTAAAAAAGAATTTTTGGACTCTATACACCTTGTTTTGAATTCTACATACTTCGTGTTTGATAAGAAGATTTATAAGCAATGTTTTGGTACACCCATGGGTTCACCATTATCACCTATTGTGGCGGATTTGGTTATGAGGAGGCTCGAGTCACTAGCGTTGTTGTCGTTTAACAGAGAACTTCCTTTTTATTATAGATACGTGGATGATGTTTGTTTGGCTGTTGATGTGTCGGATATTAACTTATTATTGTGCAAATTTAATGAATTTCATCCTCGTCTCCAATTTACTGTTGAAATTGGAGGTGATAGACTGAAGTTTCTAGACGTCTCTTTGATTAAGAGGGATAATAGACTTATTTTTGACTGGTTCCATAAGCCTACTTTTTCGGGTAGATTTTTGAATTTCCTATCTAACCACCCACTGTCTCAGAAGAGAGGCACAGTTTTTTCTTTAGTCGATAGAGCCTTTTTTTGTCGGATTTTTGTTTTCATTATAAGAATTTTAACTTCATTATTAATATTTTACTAGATAATGATTATCCCCTAAATTTCATTTTTGATACTATTAATCAACGGTTAAAATATTTGGTAAAAAATAAATTTATTGTCAATGACCAACCTACCAATACTCAAAGCAATTCAAGGTCTGTCTCTTGGCTTACTGTGCCTTTTGTTCCGTGTCATACAGAAAAATTTAAAAGATTTCATAATAATGATATCAGAGTTTCGTTTCGTAGCCCGAATAAAATGAGTAAATATGTTAAAGTTCAAAAAGATGCCCTTTCAAAAGACTCTAGAAGCAACGTGGTTTATAAAATTTCATGTAACGATTGCGATGCATCATACGTCGGCCAAACAAGTAGACAATTGAAAACGAGAATTTCCGAACATCGTAATCATATTAAACGGAACACGACAACGCGTTCAGTGATTACTGAGCATAGGTTACAGCACGGTCATGACTTTCGATGGAATGAAGTAGAGATTCTTGATGAAGAATCTAATTACAGGAAGCGCATTGTGTCTGAAATGATTAACATTAAAAAACAGAAGAACAGTTTGAATTTGCAAACAGACACTGAAAACCTTCATGAGACATACATTCCGTTGATAAACAAAATTTGACTTTGCTGTGCTGTTTCCTTTTTAGATCATAGCTAATTTTTGTATCGTGCAGACGTGTTAATTTCTGTCTTCGTGTCGTTGAAAAAGACTAACGGATTTATTATGGATTTCGACAATCTTAAATTTTCTATTGAACGTTGAAGTGTTCTTGAGGTAGGTAAGTAAAAAGTATATATTGCTTAATAATTTATAACTTTTTGGTGAAGAAAAATAAAGTTGTAAACAAAATTGTTTAAATTCCTTACAATACTTTTTACCTTTTTTAGATTGTTTATGAAGTTGTGCTTGAATTTTGACAAAATAAGTAGCTATTTGTGGCGGAAGAAATTTGTCGCAATGTTAATTCCAATCTTCAAATGTAATTTTTTTTGTTTTAGTTTCATAAAATGCAATCTTTTTTTCTAGTCTGTTTATTTTCTTCTGAAGATAAATGTTTTTGCATCTTAACTTTTTTTTCTTGGAGTATTATAGGATAATTTTGATTCGGTTTGCGCAAACTTAGTCTCCATAACTATACCCATAATTTCGATATCCTTAAGTTCAACATTTTTTATTTTATTTTCTAGAAGTAATAAAAAAATTAAAGAATTAAAAAGTTAAATAAAAAAGTGAATATTTTTATTACTTACCTTTGTCAATATTAATCATTTCTTTTCCTAAATATTTATATGTTTTAGATGTACTTGGCTCATTTACATTTATTGCATTTATATTTATTTCTGGTAATTCCATGGTAAAACATTAACATCAGCTGAAGTTTATTTTATTTGAAGAATCAGTTTCAATAATTTTTATATTTAATAAAACAATAGAACAGGTTAAAACAGAAAAAAGCATTAAAAGTTCATTACATAATTAGTAAAATTATTAATATGTTAGTATAATAAATAGTCAATGTGAATTAGTTATATTTCAATTGAATTTGATAATAAAAATGAAACTTATTAAGAAGTGTATAATATGAATATAAAATTACAATTCAGAAATAAAGTTAAAATAAATATTTCATTAATAACATTTATCATTTTAAATATGAAAATTTATTAATAAAAGTATGTAATAAAGTGCTCTATAAATTTAGTATAGATTTAAACAAAACAGAATATGTAATTTTTATCTTTTACATTTACTGATAAGGATTCCACATTTACTGACCATTTTTAAGCAATTACAATTTAAAACGAACAAGAACGTTCTAATATGTCTACGAACGGTGTCTACGAACGGTGTCTAATATTTGATAAATATATAAACCATCCATTTTTTACTTTTTCTAAGGAGCATTTATTTTATTCACATTAATCATTTCTTTTGGAGTGATATTAATCAAATTTTTTGTAAGAATTTTATTATTCCTATACTTGTCAGTTCCGAAAACAAAATCTCCATTAGTATCTATATCATAATAATATTGAATAGGAGCTATGTTATTCATAACCTTTATTTTATTTTTTTGATTCCACCAAATTAATTTTTTATTAATTTTTAACATACTATTTTTAAAATTTTTATGGAATCTGTATTCTTGAGTTTCAAAAAAATTACGGCCAATGTCATTAGGAATCAATTTAGATAAATTTCTCCAAAGATGAAAAATAGATAAGAGATTTATATATTGTTCATTATTGAATAAATGAAACTTGGAAATTCTATTCAATAATAAGTTTTACTAAATTTGCGTACCAATATCAATGCTGCACTCTCATTCGCCTTTGAGGATTGTACTATTTATAAAAAATACTGTAAGGCGCATCTACAATAGGGTCCGTAAGATTAACATATGCGTAAACGTAAAAGTTGGTTTATTTGAACTTTTACGCCTTTGACTCCGGTTTATAAAAGTTCCATGCAATAGTTTGCATAGAGCAACCATGAGCTACATAACTAATAAAATAAAATATTCGTATTATAATTCAAGAAACATAACAAATTATTGAAAATATTACAAAACATACTTACTATAAAATAAAACATAATCGATGTGCCGGCGAGAGAGGCTCACGAAGACTTTTTTTGTCAGAGGATCTTGTACTAATTCAAGTAGTTTTTCAAATTGTGAAACAGTCATTCAAGTAAATTTGAAAAATTGTTCATCATGGTTTTTAATAAATTAAAAAAGAGTATGAAAATGACCATTATGTTTCAGCTGCAATAATAGTGGTCGAATCCAATATTTTCGTTTAGCAGTCTTTTTCTTTTTTCTTTGTAATAACTGCATAACAATAGTAGCTAGTTGAATAGTTACAAAACTAATTATTTTTTAACTCGATAAATATCCATTATTATATAGTTCTGAAATTTCTATATATTGTATAAAAACTTATGTAGTACAGAAGTTAGAATACTCAAATACGAGTTTACGATTTATTATGTTACGTTACGTTTATGGGCTGCTATTGTAGACAATGCGGAGTGATTTCTTATGTTTACGTTTATGTTAAGCTTACGAACCCTATTGTAGACGCGTCTTAATAGTGTAACCAGGAAGTAAGATATAAGGAGACTCCACTCCGTAAAATAAAAGTGGACCCATTTTAGGTTTCGAGTTCAGCTTCCGATTCTGATGAGTGCGAGTAAGAGAAATGATCATTTCTCTTACTCGCACTCATTATGCGCAGCACTACTAAATTCACGAGCGCTGCGAGTGTCGAGAATCGGAAACGGAACTCGAAACCTAAAATGGGTTCATGTCTTGTAGACTGGCGAGACCGAGTGGAGTCTCCTTATATCTTCCTTCATGAGTGCAACTTTTAAAAAGGTATTTATTTGGTAATCTGAAGTGGGGTCTTCCAGTACCCCGGGGGCGCTTTAACCCGTAAAAGTCACACCTCGAAATAATAACATAACGGTCATACTGGGTCCTTTGGACCCATGGCAGAAATTTGGTTGTCATTTGGCTTCTACTTGACATAATGACTTAAAATTTTAACTGAAGTTAGTTTAAAGTCTGTTTTATGTAATCCAATGAGTATTGTAGGTAAATTTTTTTTTTAATAGTAAAAATTGCTCGGCAAAAGATTTGACCTTTTTTGACAAAATTTGACATAAAAATTCATAAAAAATATAATTTTTGTGTTAAAAAAAAGAACCCAGCGGCATTGTACTCTCAAAGTATAATACTTTAATTTGGGTCCAAAGGACCCGGTGTGACCGTTACGGGTTAAGGGTTAATAATAAATTCTGAAATAAATGTAATTTCTATATATACATATATATTCAAAAGTATATATCATTAATTACATTATTAAAATACAAAATCTCTTATAATTATGTATGTACATACATATGAATAAAAAATGCACAATATTTGAGGTTAGAATACAGGTCTTTGATATGTACATTTATTACATATATAAGTATGCGTATTTTTGAATAACAAATTGATAAAATGGTAAACTTAACTTACTGATGATTTACTTTTCACGTCACTTCTGCAATTTTTCGCTATTTACTATTTTACTCGATTTTTAATCCCATTTGAATCGCCACTCAAAAAACTTACTGTATTGTGATTGGCCGCTACTGCGCGTCCTCCAAGTTGCTATACCTCTCTTATTATAATTTATACCATGGATTAACGCTAGTCGATCTGCGATCATAACCTTCCATGCTCGTCGCTCGTCGCCATGCGTCTTTCGCGCAACATGGCGACCGGCAAAGGACTTGCTGTGATTTTCTATCCAAAGACCATCAATTTGATTAGAAATAAGCTGAACAAGTTCTCACTCGATGTTTTGTGGCAGTGCAGCACGTGCCAGCGACACGTGGTGACCGTCGCATCGATTGTCGGTGGCTGGAATCGTGAGAAAAGTAATTTGCACTCATACGTTTTAGTCCCTCTGGATTACATCATTATCCTATTCTTCACAAAACTCCGTTCCCGGTGCTTTCGTGAGGTGTCAATGAGCACAGCAAAAACCCACTCGAAATCGCTCATATAGACGCGAGATTATGATGAGGTGTAACGCGCGATGTCTCAAGTAAAAGTTATGCCAAGGCCAATTGACACAAATAATAACACGAGATCCGCGAAACGAATAAGTCACACTAGAAAAGCAGTCAACGGTTACACAACTTTCAAATCCTCGCTGTAACTAGTAGATCACAACAAAGCTAACTTTCGCGAACCTTCCCCGGTAACTGTCACATGCGGTGTAAATCATTGCATGCTCTAATATCGTTACATCGATATTTCCATTTCTAAATCGTTCCAGTTTTCATTCGTTACATATTGTCATTCGACACGTGTGTGCATTGTAACAGTTTTCTACTGCTTCGAAATAACTTGCATATCATGTGTATACATATATATCTACGTGCATGCTCTATATATATATACACATACATATATTACGTTATGTAGTAAGCAACAAACGTATTGGAACATTTCAATAACATTGTTACAATGTTGGAATGTTGCAAGATGTTTCTTACCAGGAGGAATTTGTTCTAGAAAATCCAAGTTATTTTTCTTTTGAATACTATGTAGACAAATATCTATGCAAATGTCAACTGTTGCATAATAAATAAGAATCTAATATTTATTAATATAATTATAAGGTTCTGTAAATATAAAACAATATAGATGAAATAAGGGCAAGGAACCAGTAGTATAACAATAACTTTAATTTAAATAATTATAATATAGTCTTACAAAGACAACATACGTTTTGACTCCGATCAAGTTATTTTCAATGTTATAAAAATTAAAAAATACAAATTCGTTGTAATATAAAATAATCATATTACAAATTTATCTTAGTGTATCTAATAATCTTAATGTATCATGCTGCGAGTCAATTAAGTCAAAGTAATACTCTTAAGTATCTTGAGCATTAGTTAATAAAAAGAAAGAAATACAAAGAACAATGGTATCCTACATCACAATAGTACATATAAGTTTCATTAAAATTAAAAATTGAAGTCAATTTGACATCTGAGTTAAGTAATGTCAGATAATGTGATTAGACTCTAATATATACTCTATATTTTTAAAAATATTTAGACAATTTAAATTATATTTTATTCTTTATATGCAAACAAAAAGCTTTCAGAATTATTGTAATATCTAAATCAATTAACATTTATTTCAGACATAGGAAGAATAGTACAGCCACATAGAGCCATACATCTAACAAGTAGATTGTTAAAACGTAACTATTATGAAATTCTCGGTGTTTCCAAGAATGCCTCGGCAAAAGATATAAAAAAGGCATATTATCAACTCGCTAAAAAATATCATCCTGACACAAATAAAAGAGATCCAGACGCCAATCAGAAGTTTCAAGAAGTTTCTGAAGCATATGAAGTATTAAGCGATGATACTAAGAGGAAAGAATATGATACTTGGGGTGCAACCTCGGAGCAAATGGGCATGGGAATGGGCCAGAGTCAAGGGCCCAAAAGTTACAGTCAGCATTGGCAGTATAGATCAACCATTAATGCCGAGGAATTGTTTAGAAAAATATTTGGCGATGCTGGATTCCAAAATGGAGCTTTCAATGATTTTGAAGACTTTACAGAAACAAAGTACGGTTTTGGAGCAGCTCAAGAGGTGAGAAAATGTAACTTTATATTTTCTGATTAATGCAACATGTAACTAATGTTTCTCTTATTATAGGTAATAATGAATTTAACGTTTTCTCAAGCTGCTAGAGGTGTGAATAAGGATATTAATGTGAATGTAGTAGACACTTGTCCAAAATGCGGTGGTTCACGCTGTGAGCTTGGTACTAAAGCGATAAAATGCCAGTATTGCAATGGTACTGGAATGGAAACAATAAGCACTGGTCCTTTTGTAATGAGTTCAACTTGTCGGTATTGTCAAGGCACGAAGATGCACATCAAGTTCCCTTGCACAGAATGTAATGCAAAAGGGCAAACGGTATGAATAATTTCTTGTTGTCCACGCGTATGTTGCTCGATTATCTATTTCATTTATCATTACTACATTAATTGTTGTACTTTGATCGCGTTTTTATAGGTACAACGTAAGAAAATAACGGTACCAGTTCCAGCCGGAGTGGAAGATGGTCAGACAATCCGTATGGCAATAGGCAAAAAAGAGATATTCGTAACATTCCGTGTGGAAAAATCTCGATATTTCCGTCGCGACGGGCCTGACGTGCATACTGACGCCGAAGTCTCGCTGGCACAGGCAGTGCTGGGTGGTACAATACGAGTAGAGGGTGTGTACGAAGATCAAACTATACAAATAATGCCAGGTACATCGTCCCACACGCGAATTCGTTTGAACAGCAAAGGATTAAAAAAGATCGATGGTCTGGGTTACGGCGATCATTACGTAAACGTAAAGATTACTATACCGAAGCAATTGACGGAAAAACAGCGAGCTTTGCTCCAAGCGTACGCTGAACTTGAGACCAATACTCCCGGCAGTATACATGGTATAACATATAAAACAGATGGTAAGAATAAATGATAAAATGTAAACGCCATTTTTAATATACATATATTTCGAGTACTATATCGATACAAATGTTTGCATTTTGTAAAGGCCTCCCTACACGGTCAGTAATACTGATTGTGAGTCAGTATTACTGATCAGTATTACTGACAGTATGCATTAGTTTTTACAATCTTATACGATCAGGTATTATTGATAATATTTCACTTTAGTTTGACGTATATTATTATCTATAGCGGCATGGATCTTAAGGAAAAAGCATGTATTTATCATTGTCAGTATTCTACGTCAATCCATTAATATTAACCACACACAATCAATAATATTGTCAATATTCGTTGATACTGATAGTATTACTGACTGTGTACAGAGGCCTTAATGTTGAACATTTATGCTATTACAAGATACTATTGCACCAGCGTATCTTTATTAGATTATGTATCGCTTGAGTTTTCCCCTGTGTACCTGCTATTAATAATTAAATAAAATCATATTAAAATATTACAAATGCTTTGATGTTTTTTGAAATGAAAAAAAAAAATTTTCGTGTACAAAATTTTTATGATAACAAATTTGAGATGTAATATGTAACTAATTCAATGTAAGATACATGTTTTTAAGTAAAGTCTCTTTGGTAGCTTCAATATTTTTTCTAGGCACGGCAGGTCCAAAGGTGCAAACTCAAGCGAGACAAGAGGTCCAAAATGATCAGAATGACGGTCTACTTACAAAAATTAAAAAAGCTATATTTGGGTAAAGAATAAATTGTAAGTAGAACTAGGCGGAACATAAATTTATATCTGTGATACATTTATTGCAAGAACATAAAGTATACTTTATAATTATAACTAGGATAAATCTCATAAAATATTTTTTTTCACATAAAATAGGTTTATAAATTTATTGTAATTACCTAATTGTACCTTGTCTCTGGCCCAACTCCAAAACATTTAAGATTTGTAGTTTTTACTCGATTATTTTGTAGTAAAGGTGTCACGTGATGAAAATTATTTATTGTAATTTTTAAGTTACTATAAAATATCCGTAAAATCAATTAGATTTCTAATAATCTGATACATTTTACGAGTTTTGATTTCATATATATAAAATGTATATCTTAACAAAAGATATTTTTTAAATGTGCATATACATATATAAATTTATCCGTAGGTACGAAAGAGTGTTATTCAGGTCCATTGCACTTGGTGAAATCTATACAAATAGCACTAGGAAATGATGCCAACCAGTCTTCATCTTCTGATCCCGAGAATCCAGGGGATAAACCTCTAAATAATAAGTCCGTACATACCAAAGATACGTCGGACGTCGATAGCAAAAATGATACTAACCCTGGAATGCAACGACGAAAAGTGCCCCAGTAATCATGAACGTTTTGAAGCAATTTAGAGATTTAGAGATGCTGCTCGCGCGCGTCGTTTTACTGACAAATAAAATAAATTCTAATTTGCGCTAGTATCATGAAAATTTTTGGGCCTGAAATTATTATACTTATTAGTAAACTTTTGATCAAGTTGAAACAAATAAGCATGTGAATTGTTACGAATGAAAGTGGTAGCAATCTGATATTACTTAGGTAATATAGCTGTACAGTCGTATCATAGCATACGAGAGTTTGTCTTTATTACATCTTATTTAAATAAAGTGTACATGAAGATAAGTATAACTGTTATCTGTTCACCTTAATAGAGATGATGTACATTTATATTATAAAATAAATTTTGTGCAACACGTATTTCTTTGCATATACGTAAAAAATGAATTCACATTGCATCTTATGCAAGTTCTTTTTTTCCTTTGTATACGCGCGCGCGCGAACACACACACACACACACGCACAAAACGAGTAACTGTTAATCGGATATAAATTGTAATAAAAAATGTAGCTATAAAAATAGCTCTTCTAGTTTTAATTATATGTAACTTGCTCGTTTTATTTTGCGAAATAAAAGGTGTACATCTAAAGAAAATACATATCTACACGATCTATTTTTTTTTCCAATTGAGGAGCTTGATTCTATAAGGGATACGCTTGGATTTTGCGGGATAAGTATTGACTGCAAGACTAATTTTGGACATCGCTCTAATTTCAATTTTGACGATTGATTCTTGTAGAAAACTTCATAGCGTATTTTTTGTCTTTAAGAACATTTCTAATCTTGAGCAACATGTATGGATTCCGCCCTTAAATTATTAGAGCAAGAATTTTTTGGAAAGGGGGAGAGAGGCAATAGTGTTTCAGCGCACATGGAGTGAGCGCATTACACTGAGTGAATAAGGGAGAGGCTGAGACGTTTAGAAAGGAAGAGAGGGAATCGTGTTTTAGCACACATGGAGTGAGCGCATTACATTGAGTGAATAAAGGAGAGGCTGAGACGCTCAGAAAGGGGGAAAGAGAAAGGGAATCGTGTTTTAGCACACATGGAGTGAGCGCATTACACTGAGTGAATAAGGAGAGGCTGAGACGCTCAGAAAGGAAGAGAGGGAATCGTGTTTTAGCGCACATGGAGTGAGCGCATTACACTGAGGGAACAAGAAGCGAGAGAGGATAGAGATGGTGGATAAGTGCCGTGTCCAAGCTCCGGTGTTAATCTTATTGTTAATTTAGAATGATTTAATACGAGACTTTTGTAGTTGACATTTATTGTAGCAACTATAATAAATGTACAAAGATAACTTTACATGTTCAAAAAAAGATACTCAAAAATTTAAACCTTTTTATCTAATAATAATATATTACCACAAAAAATAACTGATATATTATTATTAGATAAAAAGGTTTAAATTTTTGAGTATCTTATTTTGAACATGGCTTGAACTTTTCATTTTTATGATATGTTTTTTTTCGGATATCACTTACTTTTCAGAATACAAATATATCACAACATATATAAAAAAAATGATTTAAAATATTATGTAACGAATCTTAAATATTATTTAAAATTGTTAAATTTAATGAGCAAAACTCATCTAATTAAGCTTAATCAAAGAAACAATACACATCAATTAAACCTTTTAGATTTAATGAATGAACTTCAGAAGGAAATAGAATATCATAAATCATGAATCATAACATAAGCATAATACAACAAAAGCATCAATACAACAAATCGCTTATAATGAACATCTTAGAGAAATAATGACTTTTGTGCATATACCTTAGTACAATTATTTATATTAAACTTATCTATAACGAAATCAGATCATCTTTGCAAGGCCAAGGCCTTACAATCGCACACCGCTCACACACAACCTTTCGGCACCATGGTCCACTAGGAAAAGGGGCAAGCATCAACGATGTTCAAATTTCATAATCTGACTATCGAAAGATAAGTGCCATCTACTCGATGAATTAATCATGCCATCTATCGTTAATTAGCCTGATGAAAATTACAACTTTCCAACAAAAATATTATGTAACAGGGAGGGGCGGGGTGAGGAGGTCCGGTGGGTCGAAGATGATGGAGGTGTGAGTGAAAAGTGAGAGGGGATGTTAAAAAGTTATAATTTCGGACGGACGAACGGACAGACATACAGACAGATAGAGAAGAAGATATTTCTTAATTTTTCGTTAAAATCATTACATTTCGACCGCTTGTATCTCCAGAACGGCTTGACCGATTTTAAATTTTTTTGGCTCAAATTACTCATGGCGATGCCACCTTTCAGGACATATAACGCTCGATTTAAAATTTTTTATATTTTAGAAGTTATATGCACCCCCCAAAAATGGACTTTGGTGGCTCGGGATAGAAGACTTGTAGTGTCTTTCACAAGAAGACTAGAACCGGTCGCATTCGAAAACATCACCTGAGTGCCTCGATCCTCCCGAGGATCGTTCGAAAATACTTCGATACCCTCGATGGACTTTCGATTGTTGCGTTCGAAAACACACCCGAAAGAGTGACTATTTCTCCCTACCTCGCTAAGGTAGGGAAAAGAGAGTATCTCGGATAAACGTGAAGCGGGAAAATGGAAAAAGATGTCGTCCAATATAGAAATTAATTTATCGAGGCATCAACTTATTAGAGATCAGGTTAAAGATAAAAAATAACAATTACGCAAAATGGATGCTTAAGCATGAATTCATGCTTTTGTTGGCCAAAGTGGATATATGTATTTATTTTTACAAATCTTTCAAAATATCCTATATCTATACTTACAAAGTAGCCTAACCTAACTCTATACTTAATATTATAATGCCTGTATGTACACTTCAGTTATATCATTTTTATTTTCATAATTCTCAATAGTAGATATATTGCAATTGTCAGCTTTTTTTTCTTCTTTGCTCATTATTTTCAGGGAATGGATGTAAGTATAACGTTGTTACACTATTATTGTTACTTTTTATAACTATTATAATGTATTTAATAACAAAAATTCTTAATAAAATTATATAAACTAGTTATGGACTCTTTTTTGTTAAAAACAAATAAACAAACATAAATTAAAGGCTATAAAGAGTCAAACGCAGTTAACTATGCGAAAAAAAATTTTTTAATAATCTTACAAATTAACATTAAGATGCCCCGTCGAACGTTTCGGTCTGCAATTTAGACCATCTTCAGCGACGAAATAATAATAAATCAATACTCCTTTTATTCCGAGTTAGAATGCAAGTAATCAATTCTTGTTGAACGACAAAATGTTCCTGTGCACCAACTAGAGGTAAATACGATAATGGATGTGGAGTTGTGTAATGAACTTCCGAAAAATCAGAAATATGTCTGTGAAAAAGACCGTTGACAACACAAATTCTATTAGAGTCAAATTATTACAAAAACAAAAAATTACTAAAATCCTTAAAACCTTACCTCTGCTGGTAGACAAAAACATTATTTCATAATTAAATTCACAATTTAATCATACTAGAAAGACTGACTGTAATAAATATGCGTCCGTATTCGACAGTAAAAGACGATACAATGAGGAACCGTTATATTAAAAAATAACAAAACGAGAAGGCTTAGGTCAAATTGATGTTGACAATTTATTTAAAATATCCGCGTATGCCTGATCAAGACCTTCTGTGTCAGTTTTTAAATTCAGACCATTATTTTGAGATTTAATATAAAGCATTTCCGATATTAAACGCTTTTGGTAAAAATTTTCACTATCCAAAATTTTCACATTATTCCATTCAAAATCATGATTATGCTGCAACCTATGGTCAGTAATAACAGATCTGGAGGATGTATTTCTCCGTATATGACTACGATGTTCGTTTACTCTCGTTTTTAACATTCTCTTTGTCTGGCCAACATAGGTAGCATCACAATCACTACATTGAATTTCGTATACAATGTTCTTTTTCGTTGTATGTGCAAGGGGGTCTTTCTGCACTCTAATAAAATTATTTAATTTATTAAAACTAAAGAATGCAATTCTGTCCTTAGTTCCATTGACAATGCCTCTAAAACTGTCAGAAATTCCCTTAACATAAGGGATGGTAAACCATCTAGTATTATCATTTCTAATATTATTGTTAACCACTTTAGGTTGTAAAGGTCTATTCATAATAGCATGAATTCTTTTCTTAACTTTTTCAAAGACAAAGTCCAATGGATAGTCATTTAGTGTTAAAATATCAATAATAAATTTAAAATTTTTCTTATGAAATTCTGGATGTGATAGTAAAAACGCCTTATCAACCAATCCATAAATGACACTTATTTTTTGAGAAAGGGGGTGCTGAGACCAAAAATTCAACATTCTGCCCGAATAAGTAGGTTTTTGAAACCAGTCAAATCTTATAAAATTATCTTTTATTATCATGGTGGTATCCAGGAAATTGATTCTGTCACCACCTATTTCAATGGTGAATTGTAACCTAGGGTGAAAGCTATTGAATCTTTGTAGAATCGTATCTATTTGTTCCCTGGGTACCGCCAAGACAATGTCATCAACATATCTAAAATAAAATGGAATGTCGAAATCAAAAGTGCTCAACACCTCCCTCTCAAGGTCCTGCATGACTAAATCGGCTAAAATCGGAGATAGAGGCGAACCCATAGGTGTCCCATAACTCTGTTTATAAACCTGCCCGTTAAAAATAAAAAAAGTTGATTCAAGAATCAACTTGACAGCTTCTATAAATTCAGTTTTAGGAATTGAACAATTAGATGATAAATAATTCCATCTGTTAGAAATCGATTCTAACGCTGCCTCACAAGGAATATTCGTGAATAATGAGATCACATCTAGAGAAATTAAGATGTAACCTTCTTCAATCCGTGTGTTAGATAATTTCTTTACCAATTCAAAACTGTTATTAATATGACTAAGAGGTCTTGGTATTCTATCATTAATTAGTTTATGCAAAAATGTGGCAATTGAATGAAAAGGACTTCCAACAGATGAAACAATAATTCTGAAAGGGCATCCAGGTTTATGCACCTTAGGTAGGCCATAACTTCTAGGAAGCGTTCCCTCATTGTATATGATACGCAATAGCTTCTTTCGTGGCCCACGCAATGCGTAGCTATCCTGATTTTATCTGAAAAATAATATCTTATATTTCCTCGTCTGTCACGCTATCATTCATTATATTTAAATTAGACTTTAAGAACTCGTCGCTAGTATTTACAGCTACAGAAATTAAACGTTTTCGACGTAACTCAACCATAGAACTTATAATAAGTTACTTATTATAAATTCTATGAACTCAACACTATCCATTTTGAATTTGTATGTACATTTGATATTTTGGTAGTCGTTCGAAAACCAACAGTTCTCTAAATTCCCCATTACCCCCACCAACGCATCCCTAAGTCACCTCACTTGCGCCGGCAGAGGACGTTTTCGAACGTAG